GATTAAATTGAAATTGCAACCAACTTTCTGTCTTGTTTTAGAAATAGTGATATTTGGGAGATGATTTCCTTTTCAAATAACTGAAAGTGAGAGGTTGTAATCTGAATAAAGGGAAAAAGGGCATTCTTGAACATTGGGTGAGACAATCTTACTAATTTGCTAGAGAACCAGTTCGGATTTAAGTATAACTTTTGTATGACTGAAGCTTTTAGTGATAGGTCTAATGCTTTAATATTTAATAATTTCTGTCCTCCGAATTCATATTCATTATATAAATAGGCCTGTTTAATTTTGTCTGGCTTGCCGTTCCAAATAAAATGGAATATCTTTTTCTCATATAATTTAAAAAACTGTTCGCTAGGCGTAGGCAAGACCATAAGCAAATAGGTAAACTGGGATAATACTAAAGAATTAATCAGGGTGATTTTTCCACAAATTGACAGGTATTTACCTTTCCATGGTAGCAAGATCTTATCTATTTTTGCTAACTTTCTATTAAAATGTATTGGAGTGAGATCATTTATTTCCTTTGGGATATGTATTCCAAGTATATCCACATCACCATCAGACCATTTTATTGGTAAACTACATGGTAATGTAAATATTGTATTTTTTTGTGATCCAATACGTAATATAGTACATTTGTCATAATTTGGTTGTAATCCAGAGAGGTTAGAAAATTTATCTAGATCCTCTATGAGGCTGTGGAGGGAACCAGGTTGTGGATTTAAGAGAAAACATGAATCAGCATACAATGACACCTTTGTTTTTAAACCCTGGATTTCTAATCCCTTGATATTATTGTTGGATCTGATTTTAATAGCTAACATCTCGATGGCCATAATAAATAGATATGCCGATAGTGGACAACCTTGTTTCACTCCTCTTGACAGTTGAAAACTTTAAACTTTAAACCATTATTTACTATTTTACACCTAGGGTTACTATACATGATTTTGACCCATTTTATAAGAGATTCTCCAAAATTGAAATGCTCCAGGCATTTATATATAAACCCCAGTCGTACTTTATCAAATCCCTTTTCGAAGTCTGCTATGAATAGCAAGCCTGGTTTCCCAGATTTTCCATAGTGTTCTATTGTTTCCAGTACTTGCCTTATATTATCTCCAATGTATCTTCCATGTAAAAAAACCTGTCTGATTAGAATGAATAATTTCCGACAATACCTTTTTAATTCTATGCGCTATACATTTTGCTAGAATTTTTGCATCACAACTCTGAAGTGTAAGGGGCCTCCAATTTTTTTAATGGACTGGACCTTTATATTTTCCACTTGTATCCTGTTTCAGTAATAATTCAATCAGACCTTCTTGAGTGTCTGATAATCTACCATTTACATAGGAGTGGTTAAAACATGCTAATAACGGTCCTCTTAGGTTTGGTATACCTCGACTGGTATGCCATCCAATCTTGGAGTTTTCCCGGACTTAAAGTCTTTAATTGCATCCAGAAGTTCTTCCTCTGTAATTTCACCTTCACATGAGTCTCTACAATTAGCTTCAGTTAGAGGAGATGGAGGCGACTGAAACGAAAACATATGCTTAAAGTACTTTGTTTCCTCCTTCAAAATATCATTTGGTAAATCATGGGTGACTCCGTCAATTGTAACCAGTTTCATTAAATTATTTTTGGTAGCATTCCTATGTTGAAGATAAAAAAAATAATTTGGTGCATTTTTCCCCATATTCCATCCAGTTTGCTTTATTTTTATAATATATTACACTTGATCTTTCTTGAATACGTTTCTCCATTTCTTTTTGTTTTTCCTCTAATTTATTCTGAGCCTCTATGTTACAGTTTTTATTGCCATCTATCTGTTCTGTTAGACCTTCTATTTCCTTTGTTAGTATAAACTCTTTTGACCTAAATTACTTTTGTTTTCGAGATGAGTACTGAATTGCATGGCCTCTAAAGGCACATTTAAAGGCGTCCCATACAATAAGAGGGTTTGCTGTACCTATGTTATGTTGGAAAAAATCAGTTATAAATTCCTTTGTCCTAGTTAAAAATAAATTATCATCCAATAGGCTTTGATTAAATGTCCAATATCCTCGCCCACGTGGAAATTCAGTAAGAGTAATGTATATGCCAATTATATGATGGTCCGACCGCATTCTGTCCCCTATCAACACTTTTTAAACTTTTGGTGCCCACGAGAATGACATAAGAAAGAAGTCAAGATGACTAGCTTGATTGAGTCTCCGCCATGTATATCTCACTAGATCAGGATATTTAAGCCTCCATATATCTACTAGTTCTAATGTATCCATGACATTCATGATTTCCTTAAGAGCATGAGGGTGATTGTTTGTGGTGTGATTTCCTTTACGGTCCATTGAGCTATTTAAAACAGTATTATCATCCCCCACCATAATAATATTGTCTTGAATTGCTTGCAGGGTTGATAATTTATTATATATTGTCAAAGAATAATAATAATAATATGCCATTTAGCAGACGCTTTTATCCAAAGCGACTTACAGTCATGCGTGCATACATTTTTTTGTGTACGGGTGGTCCCGGGGATCGAACCCACTACCTTGGCGTTACAAGTGCCGTGCTCTACCAGCTGTGGATCATCATTATTTGGTCCATAAAGGTTAATGAGCCATATCTGTTTATGGTCCAATAACATATTTAAAATAATCAATCTACCTTGGACAATTTGCACATTCGGATCGAAATTACTATTAATTAATATCATCACCGCTTTTGAGTTTCTTTGCCCATGGGAGAAGTATATTTCGCCCCCCCCCAGTCCTTTTTCCACACAACTTCATCTAGAATTGTTGAATGAGTTTCCTGTAAACAATAGATATTATATTCCTTCTCTTTGAGACATGTAAATATTGTTCTTCTTTTGTTATTATCTGCTAAGCCATTACAATTATAACTGGCTACACTTATTTCACCATACACCATAATGAGATACAAGTTTAAAGTCTATTTATCATTATATATGTTTGTAAATTTACCAATAAAAAATACCGTAATGATTGAGTGTCCATATAGCTGTACCATGATATTTGCATTGCTACTAAGTAACCCTCCAATTGTTCTCCACTAATTCTCCCGCTAAAGCCCCTCCCCATCCCAAGTTGAGCCGTCATCCCAGTGATCGGCATCCCACCCCCGTCCCTCCGGATCCCTAGGGCCCCGAGAGGCCAGGACCCATCCATCGAAAACAGCACACAGTGCCACCCACAAAACAGAAGCAGGTTAACCACCAAAAGCATTTCCAATGCTGTCACCTCAATATATATACAGTGGGGAAAAAAAGTATTTAGTCAGCCACCAATTGTGCAAGTTCTCCCACTTAAAAATATGAGAGAGGCCTGTAATTTTCATCATAGGTACACGTCAACTATGACAGACAAATTGAGAAAAATAAATCCAGAAAATCACATTGTAGGATTTTTAATGAATTTATTTGCAAATGATGGTGGAAAATAAGTATTTGGTCAATAACAAAAGTTTCTCAATACTTAGTTATATACCCTTTGTTGGCAATGACACAGGTCAAATGTTTTCTGTAAGTCTTCACAAGGTTTTCACACACTGTTGCTGGTATTTTGGCCCATTCCTCCATGCACATACTGTGTACTTGTTCTCCCCACTGTATATCCTTCATCTGCACAAAATTGAAAGCTCTCTCTCACAACCCCTGCTCACAGACACATGTTGGTTCTGGGATATGCAACCATTTCCTTTCTCACTCACTTAAGGCCACACTTATTCAAACACCAAAACGCACACCACGCCTTCCATCACAATTCATCCACACATATCCCCACACTGTGCCTTCTATGTCTTCTGTTTGCTATGTTTTTATCTCCACTATGTTGATTGAGTACTTGTGTTCTAATTTAGTTGTATTTGAAGATTTATTTAGCTTGTTATCTTTTCTTTTAATACTGTCTTATCCCTTTATAAATTACTATACCTACTATAAATATGTTTTAAATATTGTTTCTATGGAAAGCATTTTGGCAACACTGATTTGATGTTAGCCTAGATCCAAACTGAATTGCTCACTTTCACAATTTAGTTTGGATCCCAGCTAGAATAATGTAGCTCATTGTGATCATGCAGAAAGACCTCACCGTTCCCTTCTTCCTCTTGTAGGCGGTGAAGACGGAGAGGTAGACCAGGAAGTTGAAGAAAAACATCTGTGGAGTGAACCTGTCCCACTCCTCCAGTAGCCAGTTCAGAGGCTCAATCTGGAGCATCGCAAGGCAATTCTAAAATAAAATGTAACTACTACCCACTGGGCACACACTGGTTGAATCAAAGTTTTTTCCGCCTCATTTCAATGAAATTACATTGAACCAATGTGGAATAGACGTTGAATTGACGTCTGTGGCCAGTGGGTCGAATCACACTTTGATGCTAGTAGATCTTACTTTTGGTCTCTCTTGAAATACATTTTCTTACAGTACACACACCAACAGAGAGGTTGGAGCACAGCTGCACAGGGTCAACCACCGTGCAGCACCCCTGGAGCAGTATAGGGGTAAGTGCCTTTCTCAAGGGCACAACGACAGGAGATGGCATTTAGAGCCCCATTTATACCTGGTGCTAACATGAGTCCTTCATCTTGTCCACATTCTGATTGTGCCCACTTTTCTTGACAGGTTTTGACGATTAAAAGATGCATTGTGATCTGATCTTCCTGACCACCTCCGGAGGTCGTCAGGCACACGTGTGTAGATGGAGCTGAACAGTGAAACCATTTAAATAATCGTTATCCAGCCACTCATAAATCATTGACAGGAAGCACCATTGACTCAGGCCATCAATATGTGTATTTAAATAAATACATATTATTTTGAAAGAATATCTCTCAAATAATTTGCATACAGGGAGGGATCAGGAAATCTGCAGACACAGTGGATGGATGAGAGACACATTTTAATACCATGTGTAGATGCATGTGAACAAGATCAGGACAACGGATGCATTATAGCACCAAATGGGACTTATGATTTAATCCTTATTATATAAATGCTGTAGACAATCTCCAGGACAGAGTTCTTCTCGTAGGAGTCCAGAGAGGTCAAGTCATACAGGGAGGAATGGACAGGTCCGTACACCCACTCAGTGAATTTACGGGACAGGTGTCTGGTCTCCCTCTCCTGGAACTCACGATGCATCATGTTCTCAAACAGCTAGAGGAGGAATACAACAATTGGTTAACGTGTAATGGAAGGATGTAGCACATTATCATAAACACATATGGAGGAACAATGTATTTTCTTCCGACGTCGAATAACAGGAACAACATTTTGAAGATGAGATGGCTTAATTTGTAAACAACAAAATGATCTGTTCTCCAGTAGGTCTACATACAGTAGTGGGCTGAACAACCATACAACATTCGTCCATATCAGACTCCTTCCGTACCCCGATCTTGCCAGTCTTGGCGGCCAGTTTTATAGGCATCAGGCACAGTTGTTCTCCAAGTCCTCCAGCCTCCACCTGGGGTGCAGGCAGGCAGCCGTGGTGAGGATGTAGTCGTACATGGAGGTGATGAAGTCAGTGTTCTCTGGTGCGTTATCAGTCGACACCACCACCAGGGCATGCAGCACCATGTTACCCAGGGAGTCCCTCCACCCAATGGTAGAAGTTCTCCAGCAGGAAGTAATCTACCTCAGGCTGGTTGGTGCACACAGCCAGAGGCAGAGGCAACTCACCTGAAAACACATTTTCCCTCAATTTAATGTATTTCTATCACCCTACCCACCACAACAGTGACGATTGTGTTGGAAATATTTTCTGGATATGTAAACACACTTTCTGTAAGGTTTCATAAAACACTTTCATACAATTCCCTAAGTCATAAACAAGGGAATTATTATTCACTCAGAGGGATGACTAAATGTCTGACAAGCAGCAGAGTCTGTTACAAACCTACCAGAGGTGGGCACTGTTCAAGGCTCAGTGATACTGACACACTCCCCAAACTACAGTAGAAGATGGGTACATCATGAGGCTGGAAGAATTTCCCACAGGCTTTGGTATGGACTTCTCCTTTCTTGATCAATAGCTGAACAAAATAGGTGCTCCTTCTCTCAATGGCAATATGAAGGGCTGTTTGAAAGAAAGGATAGACTATCAGAAAGTGCATGGCCTTACATATACACTAACATGACTATTTGTATATTACATTGGTTGAGGGCTGTGTACATACAACTGAGTTGTCAGAAGCATGGTGTAGAATAGATGAACAACATCAAGTAATGATAATTCTGGTTATATGAAAGTTCACCTTTGTAATAGCTGTCTGTGTATGCTACATTTATAAATTATTTGATGTCCCCCATCTTCTCTGAGATGTCAAGGAGAAATTGAATTGTGTTATATGCCGTCTCTCAGATTCAGTAGAGCCTTCACCAGGGCGTTTTTACTATACGATTGATCTAGGACAGCAGGAGGTGAAAGAATGGAGTATAAAGGAATACACTTGGACTAAAAATATTATCCATTTAGGTTCGTTTTTTTGTCATTTACCAGACGCCGTTATCCAGAGCGACATACAGGAGCAATTAGGGTTAAGTGCCTTGCTCAGGGGCACATCGACAGATTGTTCACCTAGTCGGTTCAGGGATTCGAACCAGCGATCTTTCGGTTACTGGCCCAACACTCTTAACCGCTAGACTACCTGTGTTACATTACAGGGCCCTTATAACTGTGTAATCACAGCGTTACAAGTATTGTAATAACTAATTGTTACATTGTACTTACACTGTACTTGGGTTAGGGATAGGGTTAAGGCTACGGTTACAGCAATAAGTACAATTTATAACCACTCTAGGGTTAGGGTTGAGGTTAGGGTTGAACTGGGATGTGGACATGAAGTTAGGGTTAATGGCTAGGGTTAATTGTTAAGGTTATAGTGTAGCCGGGGTGTGGACATGAAGCTGTAAAGTACTGATGTAAAGTGGTATCCTAAAATGCAAAAATTATACAATACTACAGAATATAATACACAGTCTCCCTCACACTCAGTGTTGGAGAGCTTCTTCATGGACTGATGAAGGTACTGAACAAGACCCTCCAGCTTCATCACATTCCCAGGCCTCAAACAGCCTCTTGATGTCAAACCTCTTGCTGCCCCCTCCTCTTTGTTCTCCTCAAAACCTCATATTTTCCTACAAAGAAACATGTTAGACTTTAGTATTGGGAAAGCATTTATTTTTCAATTGGAAAACAAAATACACATGGTCTTGCCCAAAGACCTTATTCTAATGATATTGTAAATGAACTTCTGATTAACAAAACCTTCCCCCTGAGGAAGACAGCTGTGTCCTCTCAAACAGTTTGAAAACTCTTATTAGTGTTACTACAATCAGGCTATAAACACCAATTGTCCCCATACAGGACAGTATGCGTTATTATGTTCAGTGAATGTGCCGTCTCACTTGTCAAAGTTGAGATTGAATCTGATCTTGGGCGTGGCCTTCTCTAGCTCCTCCTGGTAGTCTGAGTCCATGGGGGCTTTGGTCTGCCCATGCCCAGGGCAGACCATCCGGTCAGGCTTCTTCACCTGTCTGCTCTGTGCACTCTCATCATTCTTCCTGTCCATCTCTAGAGAGAAGGTAGGGTACACTAGGTCCATTGCCTTGCTGATAATGACTCCTCACACTGATGGTCTGGAAGAGAAGATACATTAATGTGATGTGTTATCATTGTATCTTCTCTTCAATTTTAATGCAGTGAGGGACTGCATTCATGGTTCTCTTCCTAAGTTTTGGCATGATCAAATATTGTTTGAACACATTTTAATAACTTGACATTGACTTAACATATGACCAAAAATAATTTATTCAGTTTATCTTTAACTGTAATACACAACTTTATCCAGGCCTTAAATCCTTTCTTTACTGAAATGACAGAAAACATATTCCCAGACAGTTCAGTTGAAAATTAGGACAGATAGTTAATAATCTCATACCTCTCCAAATTAAACTGATCAGAATTAATAATTATTATGGGGATTTAAATGATTTCTCCCAGGGAGGATGGTTGAAAAACTACTTGTTTTGTTAGTATTTCCCTGTAGATGCCCTAGAAAAGAGGAAGGGGTTGACAATGACTCAGAGTGAAACTGTAAAGTCTTCTCTGCCCACAATGAGGGGAACATCACATGTGGAAGAGCAGAAAGAGAGAAGTCAGGACCATGATTCAACCATGTGTCCATCCCCATTTATAACCAACACATATAGATCCATCTCAGTCTCATCAAATATTTCAGTTTGATACCCTTGATTAAACCACATCAGAGACAAATTAATGAAATAATACATAACTGTGTTATTAGGGGCTACAGCATTCTGAAAACAAATAATATAATGCTTAACATTAATCACGTTTGTTTTTTTAGCAACATATTGTTATTCTGCTGATCCATTACTGTAAAACAAATGTGTCCCTTGTGTCCATTTGCATGGCACCACACACGCTCAGCGTAAAACAGTGTGCATATGAACAAAGACTCTTATCCACTCTATGAGATCATGTCTGTATGCATAATTGATGTGGCCATTTTGCTGTCACTTGATCTACTTTATGGATCCTCATCTACTTGGCTCATAATGCTGCTGGACCCATTGGGGCTCAAGATGGCTTCCTCTCAGACAAAAAAAAATGCTATTTTCTGATGCGGTGTCATATGATTACCAACCCCTACCTACTGATAAAAATATGCACAAAAACAAAACTACAGCTTCTACCAACTGTTGCTTGTCAACGATGAGATCTCTCTCACCACAATGTATATTATGTTTCTCATTTGAAAACATTATTGTTTTTCTCATTCTAATAGACATCACATTAACCGCAGTATAGCTGAAACTCAGGCTAAATAATCTAGTTGTTGTGCTTGTTTTAATCTGCTCTGAAACAGACTGTCTGTAACTGTACACTTGAATTGTCCTCCTGTGCAGATCTTGTTTAGAAACTACTAGATTTGTAGACAATGACATCATATATCATCATGGAAACAATTAATTTTAGAATCGCAGTTTCAGACACATGTAACTAATAACTTGCATGCAAACATGCAAAGCCAAACAGTGAGAAATTGTGATTTGGTTATCTTCATGGTGTCTACTGGTAGCCTGCACAGTAGTTTCTCTCAGTGATCTCATGCACAACATGTTGACTGGAGTGAATGTTTACAAGTTTTAAAAACTCCTACAATTCAGTTAAAGCAATAGAAGAACTGAAAGCTTCTCACATAAACAAAGCAAATGCAAAGCCATCATCAACACCTACTTATGATTCAATCATTCAAACAAGGACATGAAACCATCTGGGATCTAACATACAGATAACTGTGTACTTACACAGAAATTAATTAATTCCTTCCGTGCCAGTACGAAGAGCATTTCACTGAGTGGTCTGTTGGATCACATTTTCTCTTATGTCTGTGTCCATCATATAATCTTTATATTAAATAAAGGTCTAAATCCACAACCGCAAGACAATTCAACCTCTACAAACAGAGGGTGTGCCTGGGTGTATGAATCTTACTCACTACAACTGTGAGTAGTAGTGAGTAAGATTCATACACACATGCAGGGAGTATCAGAGAGTATAAGAGTACATTACCACCAGAGAGAGCTCTGCTCTGAAAGCTTAAAAGGCTACATGGCTGACCCTTGGTGTTATTGACCCGGCATCTGTAGCACTGCTGCAACAGCAATGATAGTGACCAGGAGATGCACAAAGGATCTTAGCTAATTGTTATGAATGTTGACAAATAACTGATTTATTGTAAAGGTATGTTGTTAATATTATATTCAAAAGTAAATGGACATCAGTTTAGCCATTGGCTCTTGTTAATGCATAAGCACCATATGTATACATACTGTATCCCTATTGATATAAACATAGAATACCACATCCATAGATAAGGTGTTGGACCAACATTGTTAGTAAATCCTCAAAATTGGATGGTAAGGTAAAATTAGCAAACCAGCATTTCACAATCTCTGCTTCAAAAGTAAATTCCAGTGTCCTGATTCGCCTCTTGTTGTACAACATTATGTTGCAAATGCTTAGCCAAAATATCATCCCCTTCTCATTACTTCACACATTTAGTAGCCTACAACATTTTGCACAGCTGACCAGAGGTTTTCTAATATCCCTATAAGACCTAATGGTACTGTCTAGTTAGTTAGAGACACAGGCATCTATCTTCTTGAATACTTTGTACATGTCATAACAATGTAATAACACAAAAGTATATGATTAATCTACACTGAACCAAAAAATATAAACGCAACACGTAAAGTGTTGTTTCCATATTTCATGAGCTGAAATAAAAGATCCCAGAAAATGTCCATACGCACAAAAAGCTTATTCCTCTCAAATGTTGTGCACAAATGTGTTTACATCCCTGTTAGTGAGCATTTCATCTTTTCAAAGATAATCCATCCACCTGACAGGTGTGGCATATCAAGAAGCTGATTAAACATTATGATCATTGCACAGGTGCACCTTGTGCTGGGGACAATAAAAGGCCACTCTAAAATGTGCAGTTTTGTCACACAAAACAATGCCACAGATGTCTCAAGTCGAGGGAGCGTGCAATTGACATGCTGACTGCAGGAATGTCCATCAGAGCTGTTGCCAGATAATTTAATGTTAATTTACCATAAGTCGCCTCCAACGTCGTTTTAGAGAATTTGGCAGTACGTCCAACTGGCCTCACAACCGCAGACCACATGTAACCACACCAGCCCAGGACCTCCACATCCGGCTTCTTCACCTGCGTGATCGTCTGAGACCAACAACCGAATAATTTCTGCACAAACTGTCAGAAACCGTCTCAGGGAAGCTCATCTGCGTGCTCGTTCTCCTCACCAGGGTCTTGACCTGACTGCAGTTCGGCTGAGTAACCGACTTCAGTGGGAAAATGCTCACCTTCAATGGCCCCTGGCACGCTGGAGAAGTGTGCTCTTCACGGATGAATCCTGGTTTCAACTGTACCGGACAGATGGCAGACAGCATGTATTGCGTCGTGTGGTCGAGAGGATTGCTGATGAGTGCCCCATGGTGGTGGTGGGGTTACGGTATGGGCATGCATAAGCTACGGCCAACGAACACAATTTATTTTTATCGATGGCAATATTAATGCACAAAGACACCGTGACGAGATCCTGAGGCCCATTGTCGTGCCATTCATCCACCACCATCATCTCGTGTTTCAGCATGATAATGCACAGCCCCATGTTGCAAGGATCTGTACACAAGCTGAAAATGTCCCAGTTCTTCCATGGCCTGCATACTCACCAGACATGTCAACCATGTCTGGATCAATATCTACCAACATTCCACAGGCTACAATCAACAGCCTGATCAACTCTATACGAATGGGGATTTGTCGCGCTGCATTAGGTAAGTGTTGGTCACACCAGATACTGACTGGTTTTCTGATCCACAACCCTACCTTTTTTTTAAGGTACTGTGACCAACAGCTGCATATCTGTATTCCTAGTCATGTGAAATCCATAGATTAGGGCCTAATAAATGTATTTCCATTGACTGATTTCCTTATATGAACTGTACCTCAGTAAAATCTTTGAAATTGTTGCATGTTGCATTTATATTTTTGTTCAGTGTAATTGTACCTAATTACATATTATCAGATGATTAATTACTTACTTATTGTTTTGAATGTCTCGTCACAGGGAGTTTCCTTCTCCTTTCATATAACATATAACATTCAGTTCTTCTTTCTTTCAGAACCACTTTGCAGAGCTTCCTGAGTGTCTGCCTTCTCTCAGATCTACCAACATGCTTTGTTGTTGGTGAGTCTCTGTTCCTGTGACTAACATTTTGGTCAGAAAACCTCTGCTGGTGAGAATAGACTGATATATAGTTAGAGGCATCAACAAGATTTAGGATTTATTTTACATGCCATTATAACATAACAATTGAATCATTAAGTAAAAACAGTTGTAATCATCATCAATACTAAAATCTTACAAAGGAATTATTGCTAATAACACTGATATGTAAGCTAGCAGTAGCAGAACAATGTTTTAGTTAAAATGTCAAGTGCACTAATGCAAACATGAATACAGTACATTATTTTACTGTAGTTAACTATACATTACCAATTACCACTTACTATAGGCCTAATTGAACTTTTAAGTTCATACTATAAATGTGAGACATCATTTTGATTGGAGATTGCACAATTAATTTCCAATAGTATTAATTCATAAACATGTCTGAGGATATCACTGGAATGTAAAATAAGCATGATGTTGATTTTAATAGTCACTGTTAGCCATGCAGAAAAAATACAATTCAAGTATTCAAATATGCAAGTAAACAAACAATCCCTCTGTGTGAATCATAACTCACATTCTGTCATGAAAGACTATCGCCACGCCCACAGCTGAGTCCACATCCTGTCCGTATTCCACAGGCAGAGGAAACGCCCTTTCTGCTTCCTGTCTGAGCACCGCGTTACGGGATAAGGCACTCCCACTGCCCATGATCCTTTGCACTCCAGCCTCCAGCAGGAAGACAGGGTGCATCATGGAGGTGATATTGTCCAGAACACCACGGCACACCGCTCTGGTCATGTGGCCCAGGGAGAGGTTGGAAGGGTGTATGTTGGACACCTGGCCCAGGCTGAGCAGGTCATGTCTTTCCCCCAGGATGGTAGGACTAACCCTCAGGTCACTACTGTCCACTCCAAGGGCACATCTGATCAGCTTCTCATACAAGCTGGAGTCGCTCACTTCCACCTCTATAGGTAAAAAGATTAAATAGGTGTAATGACTAAGTAGCTCTCTTGGACTTAACATGCCACCTGTAAGTGACATAAACTTACAGGGTTTGTGACTAAGTCAATGACAGTAAGTGAAAGTTTATGGATAAATTTACCTAGCTCGTTCATCCAGCCACTCAGCATGCCTACAAGAGTGGCCATCACATTCCCTCCATTGAGCGATGCTGCCACCGCCAAGTAGGAGCCATCGAAGTAGGGGAAGTAGGAGATGGAGGAGCTGGGATCAGGGATATTTGGCGGAGTGAAGTCAAGTGGCATGGCATAGGTCAGCTGGGCTGAGGTGCTTATATTGAGAACTGCAAAGAGGCACAGAAACGGTTACCTTAGTATAATCAATGATAAGGTTGAATTGAAAAAGTTAATTCTTAATCAACCCCTAGCTCCTATCATTAGCATTTAGGCACTCATGTAGATCTGAAAGATGGATAGGTGTACGCACAGAATTCTGAATTTTCCACCTAGCCTATCGGAAGGTTTAAGGTGGAGCTATTACCATATATAGCTTACACCTATCCAATCCTCTTTCAGCATTACTACTGACATTCAAAGGTCGAACTGCCCCTCTTCACCCAACTTCACCTGCGTCCGTCCTGTCAGTCATGCAGGAGTAGACAGAACACTGGAAGTCCCCCAGGGCTGCCCCTACAGGTGTGTTGGCAGGGACGCCATGCCACTCACAGCATGTCTGACCAGCCATGCAGCCAGACGGCACACACTCAGGGAGCAGGTGCACGGGAAAGCCAGCATCCTTCAGACTAGAGCATGCACACACACACACACACAAAGATACAGGTAACTGCCAAAATAACGGAAACACTTGAGTAAATGAGGGATACAAAGTATATTGAAAGCAGGTGCTTCCACACAGATGTGGTTATTGAGTTGATTAAAGGCCCAATGCAGCTGTTTTTATCTCAATATCAAATCATTTCTAGGTAACAATAAATCATTTCCTGTGATTGTTTTCGATCAAAATGGTCAAAAATAAACTAAAATAGCTTCTTAGCAAGAGCAATTCCTCAAGCAAGAATTTTGCTATGACTGTCTGGTAGTGGTCTGAGTAGGGAGGGGAAAACTGAAAACTAGCTGTTATTGGCAGAGAGGTTTGGAACTCTCTATTCTTTTTGTTCTATTAACTAATTTACCACATGGTGATGTCACCAGGCAGGCCAAAACTCCACCCCACCAAAACAGGCTGACATTTCTGGCTGTCTTTTCAAACAGCTCTTACACTAAAAGGGCATTATCATACTTTTCACAATTTCACAGTATTTTTCCAACCTCAGTGTGGAGGTATATATAAAACACAGGGAAATCACGTTTTTGATTGCACTGGGCCTTTAAGCAATTAACATCTCATCATGCTTTAGGTCATGTATAAAAATGCTGGGCAAGCCATTATTTTGGCTACCATAGCTATGACCCCATATGGCGACAATGCACCCATCCACAGGGCACGAGTGGTCACTGAATGGTTTGATGAGCATGAAAACGATGTAAATCCAACTGAACACTTATGGGAGATTCTGGAGCGGCGCCTAAGACAAGGTTTTCCACCACCATCAACAAAACAGCAAATTATGGATTTGTCGTGGAAGAATGGTGTCCTCGCCAATAGAGTTCCAGACACTTGTAGAATCTATGCCAGGGGTGGGCAAACCTTTTGTCTCAAGGGCCACACTGAGTTTTTGAAACCAAGTGAAGGGCCACATACTATTTGCGTGACAAAACATGTGAAGCCTTCATTCATTTTCACATTGACACGCAACCACTAGTGTACTGTAGGTGTACATATGCTTGCAGAACAGTCTACCCTTGTACCATCTCTACCCTTGTTTTTTGTGAACACATTTTCCACAACATTTTCACAAAATTGATATAATTTATAACATCACAGACACAGTCAAACACGCACACGGATCCTGCATCTCTACCCTTGTAAAGTACAATCAAACTTACAGTCACAATATGCAAACTTAAAAATATATATATATTATATGAATGGACACATGCTAAATGTAACAGCAGATGTGTAAAAAAAACTATTCTCAAATTTGAGTGAAACATATGGTAAGAGCATCCGTTTCATTTGGAATGGTCTGTTTTTTAAAGAATATTAAGGAACAATTCTCATCTCCATTGTGAGACATATTTACAGTTATCCAATCACCTCAGCCCAAATCTGACTGATTAGTTATTACCTGTATCCAAGTGCATTGCTGGATAATTCTCACTGCATAACCATCACCATGAAAAAGCATAAACCTTGCCTACCCCAGTCACGGTTATTCGAGTCTTAATGTGAACAATAGGTCTGGTCACCTCTCTTGGCAAGGGCATCAAAGTCTGGTGTCATCTTTGATGTAGAGATTCTCAGAACAGCTGACAAGTGGTAATTTGTTAAATTTGACCTGTGACAGGATTTGTTGTAATTCATGACTGAGAACGTTTGTTCACACACATATTTGGACCCAAATAAAACAAGCATCCTTTGGGCGTACTTTGTAATGTTTGGAAACTTTGTTTCATTCAGTGAGCCATAGAACTGGTCTATTGTTGCTGTTTTGTACTTCTCCTTCAAAGCACTGTCACATTGGATGTCGATGAGCTCCAACTGTGTGTCTGGTGGTGCTTTCTCACTGTCGAAAGACAGGGCATGATACAAACTCCAGCTCAGTCTCAATCTTGGTGAAGTCTGAGAAGCGGCGGATGCAGGTCGATCAAAGTGCTCCTGTATGTCTCAGTGCGGCACTGCGATGTGGGCGCGTTCAGTGCCGCCAGTGTCGGGAAATGAGCGAGAGACCAGCTTTCACGTTGGAATACAGTTCATGCACAAAAACACAATTTCCCTGCAGTTTCACAATACAGTGGGGGAAAAAAGTATTTAGTCAGCCACCAATTGTGCAAGTAATCCCACTTAAAAAGATGAGAGAGGCCTGTAATTTTCATCATAGGTACACGTCAACTATGACAGACAAATTGAGAATTTTTTTCTCCAGAAAATCACATTATAGGATTTTTAATGAATTTATTTACAAATTATGGTGGAAAATAAGTATTTGTTCACCTACAAACAAGCAAGATTTCTGGCTCTCACAGACCTGTAACTTCTTCTTTAAGAGGCTCCTCTGTCCTCCACTCGTTACCTGTATTAATGGCACCTGTTTGAACTTGTTATCAGTATAAAAGACACCTGTCCACAACCTCAAACAGTCACACTCCAAACTCCACTATGGCCAAGACCAAATAGCTGTCAAAGGACACCAGAAACAAAATTGTAGACCTGCACCAGGCTGGGAAGACTGAATCTGCAATAGGTAAGCAGCTTGGTTTGAAGAAATCAACTGTGGGAGCAATTATTAGGAAATGGAAGACATACAAGACCACTGATAATCTCCCTCGATCTGGGGCTCCACGCAAGATCTCACCCCGTGGGGTCAAAATGATCATAAGAACGGTGAGCAAAAATCCCAGAACCACACCTAGTGAATGACCTGCAGAGAGCTGGGACCAACGTAACAAAGCCTACCATCAGTAACACACTACGCCGCCAGGGACTCAAATCCTGCAGTGCCAGACGTGTCCCCCTGCTTAAGCCAGTACATGTCCAGGCCCGTCTGAAGTTTGCTAGAGTGCATTTGGATAATCCAGAAGAGGATTGGGAGAATGTCATATGGTCAGATGAAACCAAAATATAACTTTTTGGTAAAAACTCAACTTGTCGTGTTTGGAGGACAAAGAATGCTGAGTTGCATCCAAAGAACACCATACCTACTGTGAAGCATGGGGGTGGAAACATCATGCTTTGGGGCTGTTTTTCTGCAAAGGGACCAGGACGACTGATCCGTGTAAAGGAAAGAATGAATGGGGCCATGTATCGTGAGATTTTGAGTGAAAACCTCCTTCCATCAGCAAGGGCATTGAAGATGAAACGTGGCTGGGTCTTTCAGCATGACAATGATCCCAAACACACCGCCCGGGCAACGAAGGAGTGGCTTCGTAAGAAGCATTTCATGGTCCTGGAGTGGCCTAGCCAGTCTCCAGATCTCAACCCCATAGAAAATCTTTGGAGGGAGTTGAAAGTCCGTGTTGCCCAGCAACAGCCCCAAAACATCACTGCTCTAGAGGAGATCTGCATGGAGGAATGGGCCAAAATACCAGCAACAGTGTGTGAAAACCTTGTGAAGACTTACAGAAAACGTTTGACCTGTGTCATTGCCAACAAAGGGTATATAACAAAGTATTGAGAAACTTTTGTTATTGACCAAATACTTATTTTCCACCATAATTTGCAAATAAATTCATAAAAAATCCTACAATGTGATTTTCTGGAAAAAAAATTCTCATTTTGTCTGTCATAGTTGACGTGTACCTATGATGAAAATTACAGGCCTCTCTCATCTTTTTAAGTGGGAGAACTTGCACAATTGGTGGCTGACTAAATACTTTTTTTCCCCCACTGTATGTCCACACCGAAAGCAAAGTCGCCCAGCCAGTCTGTGTCTTTCAATTCAGAGAATTCGTCAGCTTTACCAACCGTATCAAGGAACATACTCATCTCCCCTCTCAGTTCCCACACACAGCGAAATACTTTTCCCAGGCTTAGCCAGCGCACATTTGAATGGTACAACAAGTCCTGGTGCTCTGCTTCTGTGTCATTGAGCAGCTGAATGAACTGACGATGGTTAAGCCCACTTGCCCGTATAAAGTTGACAAGTTTTACAAGCACTTTGACAACATTTTCCAGCTTTAACACACTTTTAACATGCTTGCTTGAAAAATGACGATTGAGATTATATTAAAACAGCAACACTTTCTTGACATATCAGACTTACAGTGGGGAGAACAAGTATTTGATACACTGCCGATTTTGCAGGTTTTCCTACTTACAAAGCATGTAGAGGTCTGTAATTTTTTATCATAGGTACACTTCAACTGTGAGAGACGGAATCTAAAACAAAAATCCAAAAAATCACATTGTATGATTTTTAAGTAATTAATTTGCATTTTATTGCATGACATAAGTATTTGATACATCAGAAAAGCAGAACTTAATATTTGGTACAGAAACCTTTGTTTGCAATTACAGAGATCATACGTTTCCTGTAAGTCTTGACCAGGTTTGCACACACTGCAGCAGGGATTTTGGCCCACTCCTCCATACAGACCTTCTCCAGATCCTTCAGGTTTCGGGGCTGTCGCTGGGCAATACGGACTTTCAGCTCCCTCCAAAGATTTTCTATTTGGTTCAGGTCTGGAGACTGGCTAGGCCACTCCAGGACCTTGAGATGCTTCTTACGGAGCCACTCCTTAGTTGCCCTGGCTGTGTGTTTCGGGTCGTTGTCATGCTGGAAGACCCAGCCACGACCCATCTTCACTGCTCTTACTGAGGGAAGGAGGTTGTTGGCCAAGATCTCGCGATACATGGCCCCATCCATCCTCCCCTCAATACGGTGCAGTCGTCCTGTCCCCTTTGCAGAAAAGCATCCCCAAAGAATGATGTTTCCACCTCCATGCTTCACGGTTGGGATGGTGTTCTTGGGGTTGTACTCATCCTTCTTCTTCCTCCAAACACGGCGAGTGGAGTTTAGACCAAAAAGCTCTATTTTTGTCTCATCAGACCACATGACCTTCTCCCATTCCTCCTCTGGATCATCCAGATGGTCATTGGCAAACTTCAGACGGGCCTGGACATGCGCTGGCTTGAGCAGGGGGACCTTGTGTGCGCTGCAGGATTTTAATCCATGACGGCGTAGTGTGTTACTAATGGTTTACTTTGAGACTGTGGTCCCAGCTCTCTTCAGGTCATTGACCAGGTCCTGCCGTGTAGTTCTGGGCTGATCCCTCACCTTCCTCATGATCATTGATGCCCCACGAGGTGAGATGGCCGGCAGGGTTGTAGCTCAGTTGATAGAGCATGGCGTTTGCAACGCCAGGGTTGTGGGTTCGATTCCCACGGGGGGCCAGTATAAAAAGATATGTATTCACTAACTGTAAGTCGCTCTGGATAAGAGCGTCTGCTAAATGACTAAAATGTAAATGTAAAAAATGTGATCAAATACTTATGTCATGCAATAAAATGCAAATTAATAACTTAAAAATCATACAATGTGATTTTCTGGATTTTTGTAAAAAAAATTACAGACCTCTACATGCTTTGTAAGTAGGAAAACCTGCAAAATCGGCAGTGTATCAAATACTTGTTCTCCCCACTGTATGTCCAATATTAGTAAAAAAGTATTTTGCTGTCCATTCTTCTTTAAACACACAACATTCAGAGTCCACTTTTCTCATTTTCACAGCACTCATTTTTCACGTCAAAAGTCGTCAAGCAATGAAGTGGCTATGATGACTGAGCGCATTCTGAATCTGACTGTAGGCCCAAATACAGAGCGCGCTGCCAGGCTACAGCGACATCTATTGAAGGTTGTTTGTATATCATGGAATAAGTAATTTTAGGCCAAAAATCATAACTGAAATATAATAATATTGAATACATTTACAAAATGTCTAGCGGGCCGGATTGAAGTGCCTGGCGGGCCGGATACGGCCCGCGGGCCGTACTTTGCCCCCCCCCCCCCGATCTATGCCAAGGTGCTTTGAAGCTGTTCTGGCTTGTGGTGGCCTAACGCCCTATTAAGACACTTTATGCTGGTGTTTCCTTTATTTTGGCAGTTACCTGTACATGTTAGCTAACACACAACACAACATAACACAACACATGCATTCATATTATGTTCAGTATGTAGTATGTTAGTAATAACATCCTTTGTACTAAAAAGCATAGAATTGGTGCTAGAAGAAGAAGAAGAAGAAGAAGAAGAAGAGGATATTGTGCTCACATGTCTATGTTCCACTGGTTGGTGGCAGTGTTGAAGTAGCCCCAGCTGGCTGCATTCTGGCCAGTCATGACACAGCTCTCCAAGCCACACAGCATGGACACCACATAGTCATGAATGGTTCCTGCCACCATGAAATCAGACAGGAACCCCGGCCTGCATTCAAACACACAGTGAAAATAATAATGACAAGCTTTCTGAATCTATTAGTCTATAGAGTAAACTCCTGATAAGAGCACATAGGATAAGTGTAAACTGGGTGTAATAGACATGCACTTATCCTACATGTGTACTTATTAGGAGTCGACTGGCTGTATATGAAGTAAACCTATTCATCAAAATCAGCCCAGTCATGTAGGCATGATATAGCCCTATGTACCTGTGTTTCATGTACCAGAAGATAGTGGCACAACCAAAGCCTGTGGCTATGCTGAGATGTGAGTCTGGGTTTGGAAGTGTAGACAGGAAATCACTGTTGCAGCGCCCATCCTGCCAGGTTATTAGATGACTGGTGTCTCTAGGCCTGAAGATGTGACCGCTGTCTCCACCTAACCAATCACAGCCTGAGGGTAGACAGTGATGGTACAGGACTTGTTTGAATAAAGAGCATTGTGATTTCTACATAAAAAAATGTATACCACATAATAGTGGGTGACACACATTTTGTTGTTTTACCTGTTTGTGCTTTCCAGAAAACAACCCCATGCATTTGTCCAGACACCCCAATTCTACTGACATTCTGGAGCTTGTCTATGGGCAGAGAGGCAACGCACTCATTCAGAGTCGTTATGATTTGTACAGAGTCCTGCTCTTTGGCCTACAAAGGAAAAGCAATCATATAATATATAGTTTAGAAGAGGTCTATAAATCAATAGGATTATGCACAATTTGAGATCAAATGCACAGCAGCTTGAAAGGCTTAAACGGCTGTACATTTGAAAGACTGAAAGCTCATTATGCACGGCGATTCAGAGAGAGGTGCCTGTCACATACATGCGTTTCGTCGCTGATGATATCTGCCTTGGTTGGCAAAGAGACGCTATCCGTTACTCCTTTTGAGTGAATATCAAGTAACACGACCTTGATTGAAGTAGTTCCTATGTCTATGCCCAGTACATAGTTCGCCATGGTTGCTCCTCGGATAGCATTAGTCTCCTTAACCAATTAATAATTGTACGTTTTATCCAAAGCCCAGTGTTTGTAAACATAAGGCTCTACTATTTTGATCTCAGGCAGACACCGTAGATACCAAATTTCATTTCAAAGGAGGTCACAGGTCACAACAAATAGGTCTTAAAGATATCACAAAATGTGAAAGTAATTTAATAAATAAATAAATATGGGTGATTAAAAGTGAATAAATGAACAGATTCATCCACTGACTTCATAAAAAGCGAGCAGTTGATACAAAAATAAATGTCCCAGAATGCATTTAACAAGAAAATGGCCGATTCAGAATGACGGGTCGCATCTCCTGCGTTACTAGTTAGGTTGAATTTGCTTTCTTTCTATAATTACAGTCCAGAGCGAAGCAGTTAGTACATACATTGTTACGGAATATTACGTGTCACAAACTATGTCCCTTTGATGTGTTTGTGAAGTAAACGAAGCGCTGTATATTATTTTTTCATTCGGTGAGTTAACCGCTAGCTGCAGTCCAGATGTCAACTTAGCTACTAGCACGTTCGCTAGTAACAAAATAGGCTAGATTTACAAATGATTCAGAATTTGTTCGATATCATGAATGTATTAGGCAACATGTAATCAATAATGTATTTCGTTTGACCGCTTGTTTGCAGCAGCTGTCATCGTTGGAAATCAAATCAAGTGCAGACATGTCCTCAGTCATTATAGCAAAACGAGAGGGACCACAGTTCATCAGCGAGGTCGCTGTGAGGGGCAACGCCGCCATGCTGGACTACTGTCGGACGTCTGTGTCGGCTCTGTCCGGGGCGACAGCGGGCATCCTTGGGCTTACAGGACTGTACGGATTTATCTTCTATTTCCTCGCCTCGTTTCTCCTCTCCCTTCTTCTCATCCTCAAGGCCAGTCGCAGGTGGAACAAGTGCTTCAAGTCTCTGAGGATGCTCTTCACAGGAGGGCTCGTTGGAGGTCTTTTTACCTACGTCCTGTTCTGGACCTTCCTCTACGGAATGGTGCACGTGTACTAATAGAATTGACCAGAATGATTTTAGTTTCAACCCATGTCATATAAATTAATATTGTTTAACTGCCCATACAACTGTTTGTAGATATAGGCGATTGATGAAAGATGTTAGATGAACTGTTTATACAGCTATGTGAAGTACACTGTATATACAAAAGTATGTGGACACCCCTTCAAATTAGTGGATTCGGCTTTTCTGCCCCGGTCAACTGTAAGTGCTGTTATTGTGAAGTGGAAACGTCTAGGAGCAACAACGACTCAGCTGCGAAGTGGTAGGCCACACAAGCTCACAGAACGGGACCGCCGAGTGCTGTAGCGCGTAAAAATCGTCTGTCCTCGGTTGCAACACTCACTACCGAGTTCCAAACTGCCTCTGGAAGCAACATCACCACAATAACTTCGTCGGGAGCTTCATGAAATGGGTTTCCATGGCCGAGCAGCCACACACAAGCATAGTGCCAACTGTAACGTTTTGTGGAGGAGGAATAATGGTCTGGGGTTATTTTTCATGGTTCGGGCTAGGCACCTTAGTTCCAGTGTAAGGAAATCTTAACGCTACAGCATATAAGGACATTCTAGACGGTTCTGTGCTTCCAACTTTGTGGCAACTGCGAGCCAGACCTAATCGCCCAACATCAGTGCCTGACCTCACTAATGCTCATGGCTGAATGGAAGCAAGTCCCTGCAGCAATGTTCCAACATCTAGTGGAAAGCCTTCCCAGAAGAGTGGAGGCTGTTATCGCAGCAAAGCGGGGACCAACTCCATATTAATGCCCGTGATTTTGGAATGAGAAATTCGACGAGCAGGTGTCCATACGTTTGGTCATGTAGTGTATGTCTACGTCAGCAACGCTATACATTAATAAAATATTTCCTGTTTTCATGCACTGAACTGTGAACTGCTGCATTATGTTATTGTTTATCTCTGCTCAATTTCATCTATAGGATAACTGAATTTGCCAAGTTTTCTTGTCTAGCAGTTGATACATTTTATAATAAGCATAGATAAACATATCTAGGTTATAAACATAGTAATAGGTAGTAGGCTACAGGGTGATGTGCCTGATGCTAAATCTTTTAATGGCTATTAGCCATAAAAATGCATTACCAATACAATAATGTTTTGAATATCAAGCCAATACATTACAAACCACTTGCCTCTACTCCTTTAGTCATGATGTTACATAAACATTGAACAGGACATTTTTATTTTATTTGACCTTTATTTTAACAGGGAAGACATATGGAGACCTAGGTCTCTTTTTCAAATGTGCCCTGTATAATACAACATAGATTTGCACTATATATATATATATATATATATATATATATATATATATATTAAAATACAAAAACACAGTCATGGCAAGCACAAATAAAACATCACAAATCACCCAGAAAAACATTCCTTCACAAATAAGTCCCCAGTCAATACATGATGGAAATGACAAGTAATCACATTAAATGAGAAGTATTTATGATAGACAACCTCACACCCAGTGTATTTTCCAATGGTGTGAGAAAGCAATTGTAGGCCTACTCTCGATATGTGGCATTCCATAATATGACTCACAAGGATTTAATTCTACTACAAGCTGTCTCTGGGTGTGAAGAAACCACAGCCAGCATAACCTAGTTCAGCCCTCTGCCATGGTTTGATTGCATGGCCTAATTGACACCAGATGCATTATGCTTCCATCTTAAACAAATAAATATGACACTTCAGAAATGTAATGGTGCTTTTTCTCTTTGATAAATATCTCGCTTTGTAGAGCGTCTGCATAGCCATTTCTCTTTGCCAGCCCATCAGTCACCACCATCTCCAATCAGGACACATCACTCCTGAGAGACATTGGAAAACCAGAGCCATGTGTCAGCATCAGCAACCTCCGCTGGTAGAGAAGAAGGATGGTGGGCATCAGGGTCACCACCTCACCCGCCGTCGTTTCACTTTCCACCTGCTACAGGACCCAGTCTAGCCATCTTGACGATAGCAGCACCTCTTTCTTTGTCTCAGGTCTTTCTTGAAAAACAGGTCTTCTGACCTCAATCTGCCAACCTGTGTTAATAAAGGGTAAATAAAAATGTGTCACTCCGAATTAATTGGTTAGTGTCGTGGTCGTAGAGGGTGAGTATTATACCGTTGCCCCACAGTTCGCGGAGAGAGAATTTGAACCTCCTTTTTCTCCACGGTTATAAGGTCCTGTTTCTCCGCGTCCTGAGTGGTGGGCTCTGGTTTCTCCTCGGTTTCCGTAGAGAGTGTGGTGAGCTCGTGTTGTTCCCCAGCATGTTTCCTGTGTTTTCTTGTGTCTCGGTTCACCACTGTCTTCACACTCTCTTTGTGCTTCTTAATCCGTTCTTTCCTGTTAAAGGGATGTTTTACTTGTTTTACAGAGAGAGGAAGCAAGGCAAGCAATCCCAGACTTCAAATTAATACTTTAATTGATGAAACTACAAAGTGTAAATTCTGTAGTTAGTAGTAATACCATGTCATAGTGTCTTACTTGAGAATCTCAAATTTCCTGTCTCGGAAGTAGGAACTCGTGCTCAACATATAGATGAATATCATATCACAGGCAAATTTCCCCTGAAACGAAATAAACACAAAGCCCAGGTTTAGATCAAGACATACAATATATCACAGTAATCAGCATGATATAAATAAAACCAATACCCCCAATAAAGCTTGAGGGAACTTCTTAGGCCATAGCAAAAACAAAAAAACACTAAGTGTCCTGTGGATGTAAACAGCAGACTTCAAAGAGCTGTCTTCTCAAATAAATAATATGACTAAAATAGGGCACTAAAACCTTATACCAGGGAGCAGAGGGTTTCTGAATCCCAAATTGACCCCTATACACCCAAGGTACTCCTGTAGATCTGACAGCATTAGATAGGCAAAAGAAAATGTAGCCATCTTGCCAGTGTCGGGGAAGCTACTCTGAAAATATATTTTAAAAACTAATAAACTACCAATTACTTCACACTGGATGAAGTTAAGCTACTTTAGTTTACTTAACTAAGATAATTTTAAAAAGTAGTTCACTTCATCCAGACTACTTGATGAAAAATGTTCATATAAATCTGAAATTTCATAGACTACAAATTGCAAGAACAGATCACTTTGTTAACGGAATGTGTTATTTAGCCTATTTAACAAAAAAACCATTTCAAGTGAGAATTAGGCAGGTCTAATGCCGAAAAAGAAAGGAAATTATTCCCTACTTCACCCATTTTGTTGTGTGTAGTTCCAATAAAAAAAAGTAATTAACTACTGAAAACACTACTTAGATTTGAATTTAGTCAGAGAGGAAAAGGCGAAGCGAGAGGTTTTACTCTGCCCAAAGTCTGTCTTAAAAAAATAAATGGAGGTCAATGAAAGAGTGTCGAATTTGGGCAACAAAAAAATTTATTGCTAATTTGCTATGTGAGGCTCATTTGATTGAATAGAAGTTTCGTAATGGTTAGGTTGTTACGAATGCACTAATATAAGTGGACGCACATGGCATTTCGGCAACTTTGAAAAAAATTACTATATCGGAGTTGTGCCTGTTATAGAAATAAGAGGACTCATCATGGATATAACCCATTTTAGCATGGACATTGAGGCCTTCCACCATTTTAAAGTAGTTAACTGGGTGGGGATTCCTATGAGTTGGGAGCAATCAGCCAATGAAGAAGAAAATGGACTACTTTAAAATGGAGAAAGCCTCAATGGCACTGCCCATGCTGTCACACTATAATGGCACAGATACAAAGATGAGTCCTCTATCTAGCTGTATGGCCTGTTGTTCACGAGTATCTGCCCTCTCATTGAATAGAATGGTCCCACCTGATCTCGCGTCCTCCCGCCTGCCTTCTATCTTTGAGGAGTATTTCCATTGTTAGAGCAGTCACGCGAATATCTTGTCAATAAAATAGAAAATCTTTGATTTAGTTCAACTCCCACCAAGCTACTGCAAAATGTAGGTAAATTACTAGTTGAATAACATGTAGTTCACCACTCCCCAACACTGCATATTGTTTAGACCGACCCAATTGTTTCAGATCTACAGGAGTGCCTAAGCAAGGGGATAGGGGATAGGGATCGATTTGGAATGAAGAAGATGAGTAACTTATATAATTGAACAATGATAGGGGATCGCCCTCTTGTGGTGATATATCAAAATAATTTGATAGCAACCAATCTGGCCATGCTACATGACACAGAATCACAGAGGAATATATTTTTGGGGACCAGTATGTGTATTGGAAACAAATGAATACACAAATCTATTAAATTACATACCATGCCCATAATAGCGAAACCAGACCCAATAGCTATTACTGTGGGAATGATGTTGAATTTTCCAGCCTGAAAAACACAATAAAGAACAAAGAACATTTGATCTGACACAGACTGTAATATGAATACTACCAACACATTCAAGTAAGTGTAGCAAGAATCACTGTCATACCCGTCCATTCACCATGATATCAAAGCGAATTCCATAGACTTTATATAAAGTCCGGTAGCTCTCTCCAGCTTCATCTTTGTAATACCGGGCATATCTGGAAAACAAACAAATCAACTGTTTTGAACAGAAATGTCAATAACTGCTTGGTAGAGATAGATCTGAGATTAAATGCAGTAGTTGGAGAGCGCTCAAGCCTTCTTAGCTGAAGCTAATACCTTTTCAGAATGAGGGCATGGATTATTATATATACTTGAAGTACAATCTGCTTATTAATGCATGTCAACATATACCTGAAGTTGTAGCCTGACGTGACAGTGCTGTTTAAGTTGATATCCAAACGAGTGAAGCTGTACTCTGGGTTACATTGTGAGTAGTCCTTATCCAAATCACAGTTCCACTCAATCAGAATTCCAACTGACCCACCCTGAGAGAGAGAGAGAGAGAGAAAGAGAGAGAGAGAGAGAGAGAGAGAGAGAGAGAGAGAGAGAGAGAGAGAGAGAGAGAGAGAGAGAGAGAGAGAGAGAGAGAGAGAGGAGAGAGAGAGAGAGAGAGAGAGAGAGAGAGAGAGAGAGAGAGAGAGAGAGAGATGAACGGTGCTCTAAATATGGACGATGACTCTATTGCCGTGCTATTCAAGATGTACTTTCTTAACCTTGACTATGAACTGTGGTCACATTTACATCAACTCCTCATTAAACATTAACAACTAGGAACATAATTATACTGTACTTTAAAATGTTAAAACCTCAAGTACAAACTGGCAACTCTAACAATAACACAGTAGCTAACACACTGCTGATCATCTTTGCCATATATGGTAGGAATGGCTGTGGTTAACCATTGTTTTCTTCTATGCTGGGTGTTCTGCTACACTAACAACCAGAGGTAGTGTTTAAAGTGAGGGCACTTTATGCAGGGCTCTGTGTCAAGCCACTTAATAGAGATCTAACAACTGCTATGTTTCATAATGTTGTTGTTATTATGAAACCATAGTTGTTATTCATTTCAATTTCATGCCTAATGACTGCAGCCTACATGGCAAAAGTCAAATTAAATGTAATCAAAATAATGCTAATTACCTAACTGCCTGAAAACAAGCATCACTATCAAATGGACTGGAGGAAGAGAAAACTACATCACTCCCACACTACTTGGATAGCATGACGAAGGCCTGAAAAGCCTAATTTGGACTCAGTGTTAAACTAGAAACCCAACCCTGATTACTGACTGTTTAATTTATTGTATTGAGTGTCCTTCCTGGGTAGTAACGTACTGTATGCTGATAAACCTTCGTTTTTATACAACATTGCTGCCCCTTTGTGCCAGGTCCTTCTCTGCCAGGGAAAGAGGTCACCTAACCTCAATGGGACTACCTGGTTAAATAAAGGGTACATTTCAAAACAAAAAGATTCTAAATATGTACCACTACAGCCATGTCCTGAAAGTTGTGTCCAGTCCTGCTGACCAGGTCTCCCAGACGAAAGATGGGGCAGTAGGGTTGGAAGACGTTGTCATAGGAACATCTCTTTAGATAGGAGTCATTACCGGTGTCCAGGACATTTGACCTGAGGGGAAAGAAGACAGAACAGGACATGTAGCTTTTAGCTACGTGCTTAGTAGTCCAGTATCATACTTTTCCTTGGCTAAATCCACAAAAGGTCATAGGCCTAAAACATAATAAATCTTATCAGCTTCAGAAAACACGCTTTCTCTTTGACCCTTAGATAAGGAATAGCACAGAGCTACATATCATATTTTATTCACTCTGCTCGTACAAGTAACTTTATATTATTACTTCATAGTTTAGACACTTTCCATTCAATACACACAACATAATCAAAAGATCTACAACTGAAATCATGAATTGACAGAGGTCTGACGTCTCTGTGCTTTCCGGGTTAGGCTTGGAAAGACAATACCAATGTTCTGGCTGATTAAACCTTCTACAACAACAGCCTTATTGGCATGAGAGCACAGTGAGCCAATCAGATCTGTTCTGACACCTGTCTAGGGCTGGGCCTGCTCTGCTGTCAAGGACGTCTCGGATAACTGCTCCACTGTCTCACTACACACACACACACACACACACACACCCACACACACACACACACACACACACACACACACACACACACACACACACACACACACACACACACACACACACACACACACACACACACACACACACACACACACACACACACACACACACACACACACACACACACACACACACACACACACACACACACACACACACACACACACACACACACACACACACACACACACACACACACACACACACACACACACACAGCCCTGGGCTATATGGCTATGGGGGTATATAAATAGAAGGGACTGTGCACCCTCATAGCTATTCAAAGCAGTGCTAGGACATGTATCCCCAACTGCCCTACTCACACATACTTACTGATCTATGTCACGGACACTGACTGTGTCCCTAGAGACAGACAGTCTCTAGGAACTACTCTGAGGAATGTATGAACAAGCACCACTTAGCACCTCTCATAACCACTTACTTGGAGAATTCAAACTTCGGAAACCTGACAAAGTTCTTGATGTAAATTGTGAAGTTTTCTACCTTGCTTAATAAAGCCTCCCTGGAAATGAAGGGGAAAAGTGTTAAACCAGAGTGACTGCTACATAATGGTAGAGGATTAGGACAAGGTACTTCATACTGTAGTACATAATGTGCAGATGTAGGATCTTAATCTTTTGTTGCTGAGAATTTTCCTCCAAAGCAGGAAATGCAAACTTGTAGTGTAGTTGAGTTTTAAAAAGGCTTCTGGCCTCCTAAGTGGTGCAGCGGTCTAAGGCACTGCATCGCAGTGCTTGAGGCGTCACTACAGACCCGGGTTCGATCCCAGGCTGTGTCACAACCAGCCGTGACCGGGAGTCCCATAGGGAGGCGTCCAATTGGTTTGTCCGGGGGTACTTTACTTGGCTCATTGCGCTCTAGTGACTCCTTGTGGCGGGCCAGGTGCCTGCAGGCTGACTTCAGTCATCAGTTGAATGGTGTTTCCTCTGACACGTTGGTGCAGCTGGCTTCCGGGTTAAGTGGGTGGGTGTCAAGAAGTGTGGTTTGGCGGGTCATGTTTCAGAGGATGCATGACTCGACCTTCGCCTCTCCTGAGCCCGTTGGGGAGTTGCAGCAATGAGACAAGATTGAAATTGGGGCTTCAAAAGTTTGTCATTTCTACTTTGAAATTTCAGACTTGATTTGCCCTAACAAAAAATGTATCATCCCCTACAAAAATGTCCATGAATTATAATCCACATAATAATTCACATTTCCTGTTGCTGCAGGATTATAATCCTGCTGTAGCAAATTGGCTCAAATTAAGATCCTCAATCTGTAGTGTATTTAGTGGAGTGTCAATGCAAAAGTTAGTATTTTATTATTTTCACAGCAAAAGAGGATGAATTCTCACGAGGGTTTCCGGCCCGTCTCGACGGGACACCAGCCATGTATGCTACAGGTCCCTGTAGAGTTTAAACACAGTCCAGTCTTTACCCCTGCAGGGAAAATCAAAGAACCCTGTCAACATCCTGGAAAGACATAATACTCTACTTTTTTTAAGGTCAATTCCAAGGAATTTCCAAGAGAGACATTTGTCCAATTCCAACCCTGGTGATTCTCATAAGTTTCCTACACATTAGTGGTGTACATGTGCATTTAAGAGAAATGTGACCATAACCAGTGTTAATCTGTAAATAAATGTTAATCTTGGAAATGTAAATAGAAATGAGATAGACTGCCCCAGTTGACCATATTAGCCCTTACCATGGCCAGCTACCACCGCCTCACCCTCGGCACAATCCTCATTGTTTACACATAGGCCATCTGGCACCTTAGGGCTCTGGAGAAAATATGACACATTGCTGTAGTTAAAAATGCAAAGGAATACACAATGTTATTGGACAAGTGAACAGTGACACACTGACCCCTTTATACTATGAAGATTTTATCATTATTAAAAATAATTAATGCATGTTTCATAACTTTTCTGAAAATCATCATAACGGCACCGAAAGCCTACTATAACATCAAATAAGCAAGTACTGGAAGACAATGGCAAGGTCAAGCCATCTTTCTCTGAGGAAAGAACTGTTGGGCCTGAGGCATCATAATTACCTGCTCTAGGCAGTTTGGATTCTGACATCCGCCCCAAATTACTAGTCGATTTTCTGTTTGCTTTGCCATATATGGTGAGAATCATTGCATCATCAATGCGGAGTTTAATTTCCTTGTTTGATTGGATCATTAAAGTATTTCTATCTCAGCTGCACAGTCATCCAATCTCTATCTCAGAATTGGGGGATCTTTTAAAATAAAGTCAATTAACAAGATTTTTGTCTCGATTATGGTAGTACAATATTGCTTTTCACTCACCTCAGCACAGAACCCAAGCCTCTGATTTGGGGTCTCGAGGTAGTTTGTAACAATGAAGAAGACTTGTTCACCCTGAAAAACAACAGGACGCTAAAATGTTGGACACTGTACTTTTCCCAGTCAGGTCAGTCAGGGGACTGTGTATTAACTGTACAAAATCAAAGCCCTAAATAAATATATTCATTTGTCAAAGCTTTTAATATCGTAAGCTTAAATGTAAATAGCACAGCTTCTCACCACATATTAATATAGCCTTACAAAATGAAGGAGATCCAGTGGTGGCTGACTGGGCTCACCATGTGGACAAGAGCAGACCTTTCTATTTAATCTGTTTATCATTGAGTCACGCAAAGGTTAAGTGAATTATTAAAATTAGAATTAATTAAAATTAATTATAGCAATTACAGTTGGGGAACAACCCTCTATCTTTTATTTAACCGAACAGATGAAATGGTGTGTCCCTTCAGGAAAAAAAAGACTCAGTAGGTTTATAGCTAAAATGTATATAGCGAAAAGTGTGACTGTCCTATTGCTCTATAGCCTGTACGGTATAATGTCCAATGACCCCAATCATTGCCTTTTCCATGACCTTACAAGATAAACATTATTTAAAGACATCAGACATGTTCTTAAAAATAATTGAAGAGCACTATAAATACATGTCAACTTATCATATTCTAAAACCGTATCAAATAGATGTTCAACATATTTGGGTGTGATTGGAAACTGATGAAAGTGAGTTTATGGAGAGACCCCATAAAAATGTGACTCATTGTACTTGAAAATATACAATCAATGACTTGCTGTATCACTGACTGAGCTTCAGCTTCAACTCAATTAGACTTGAATGAATAATCTAGCAGTAGGCTCTGTACTGTATGTCAGCTCTACCTGTGTACATAAAACCTCCCAAAAAGATCCAGGATCTCACCGTTGAAGGTATGACATAATCCTCAGCCCCCCATAGGTAAAGTCCAGATTCTGTGTTGTTGGTCATGACCACTCCTTTCAGCTTGGTGATGACAGAGCTCTGGACGGTCTCTTCCCTTGATTGGTACCCCTTCTTATACACTAAGACCCACCTGAGAATTTAAATGCACCGGTTATTGATTGTTTGATTGATTGGTTGGTTGATTGGTTGATTTCTTACGTTTATTTTACAGCCTCACAACTTTTTTCCGTAATATTTTTTTGTTCGTTCTAACACTCATTTGAAAATGTAGAGCAGTTGTCAGTCACATATGGAAATGACATTGATGGTTATTTGAACAAACTTATTACAGTACGGGTCTAGTGCCCTGGATATATTAAAGTTTTCATTCATGTGCTGAGTCATAAGACATAGAAATGTCAAGTGCACTCTATTACACTGTTTATATTGTATGATAAAAAAATAAGGACAAATTATATTATTTTATACTAATACAATTGCTCAGAGAAAATAGATTTTGTTTAACAAATAATATTTAAAAAAGTCTCAAAAAGATAGGATCCCCTGTTTGAAATACTCCAGCAGGGCCCTTGAGAGGATAAGGACACTGAGCCTTTTCCTAAAATGTTTTATGAGATTGAAGAACACATTGGGAGGGATCTTAGACCATTCCATCATACAGAATATTTCCAGATCCTTGAAATCCTTGGTCTGCGCTTAAGCCTTGTGGACTGCCCTCTTCAAATCAAACCACAGGTTTTCAATGGGGTTCAAGTCCAGACCCAGCTAGCACATAACGTTCTGAGAACCATATGTTTCTTAGCGCATGGCGAGAGCGTGGTTATTTTGCATACAACCTTTCCACAATTTCATTACTTTAGCATAACGTTTTCTGTAGGTTTCCTCATGGTTCTATTTAAAGTAATGTTCTCAGAACGTTAAGAAACAACGTTCTTCTGTGGGAATTTCAGTACTTCAGCATAACGTTTTCTGTAGGTTTCCTCATGGTTCTATTTAAAGTTATGTTCTCAGAATGTTCAGAGAACGTTAAGAAACAATGTGGGAATTTCAGCACTTCGGCATACCCGCTGGGAACATACAGATTGAATCAACATTACATCCACGTAATTTCAATGAAATTACATTGTACCAATGTGGAATAGACGTCGAATTGACGTCTGTGCCCAGTGGGTAATGTTTTCTGCAGGTTTCCTCATGGTTCTATTTAAAGTCACATTCCCAGAATATTCAGAGAACATTAAGAAACAACGTTCTTCTGTGGGATTTTCAGTACGTCCGCATAACCTTTTCTGCAGGTTTCCTCATGGTTCTATTTAAAGTAATGTTCTCAGAACATTAAGAAAATGTTCCATAAAAACAACAAGAAAACATTAGTAATGTTCAAAGAACGTTCTAAGAATGTTATTTAAAAACGTATACATTCTGTTCTCAGCGTCAACAAAACTCTCTCTATCCTCTATCTCAGGGGTTCCCAAACTTCTTCACTCAGCCCCCCCTTTCAGAATTGGGAATCATCAGGTTTAAAGCTTACAGTGGGGAAAAAAAGTATTTAGTCAGCCACCAATTGTGCAAGTTCTCCCACTTAAAAAGATGAGAGAGGCCTGTAATTTTCATAATAGGTACACGTCAACTATGACAGACAAAATGAGAAAAAAAAATCCAGAAAATCACATTGTAGGATTTTTAATGAATTTATTTGCAAATTATGGTGGAAAATAAGTATTTGATCAATAACAAAAGTTTCTCAATACTTTGTTATATACCCTTTGTTGGCAATGACACAGGTCAAACGTTTTCTGTAAGTCTTCACAAGGTTTTCACACACTGTTGCTGGTATTTTGGCCCATTCCTCCATGCAGATCTCCTCTAGAGCAGTGATGTTTTGGGGCTGTCGCTGGGCAACACAGACTTTCAACTCCCTCCAAAGATGTACTATGGGGTTGAGATCTGGAGACTGGCTAGGCCACTCCAGGACCTTGAAATGCTTCTTACGAAGCCACTCCTTCGTTGCCCGGGCGGTGTGTTTGGGATCATTGTCATGCTGAAAGACCCAGCCACATTTCATCTTCAATGCCCTTGCTGATGGAAGGAGGTTTTCACTCAAAATCTCACGATACATGGCCCCATTCATTCTTTCCTTTACACGGATCAGTCGTCCTGGTCCCTTTGCAGAAAAACAGCCCCAAAGCATGATGTTTCCACCCCCATGCTTCACAGTAGGTATGGTGTTCTTTGGATGCAACTCAGCATTCTTTGTCCTCCAAACACGACGAGTTGAGTTTTTACCAAAAAGTTCTATTTTGGTTTCATCTGACCATATGACATTCTCCCAATCCTCTTCTGGATCATCCAAATGCACTCTAGCAAACTTCAGACGGGCCTGGACATGTACTGGCTTAAGCAGGGGGACACGTCTGGCACTGCAGGATTTGAGTTCCTGGCGGCGTAGTGTGTTACTGATGGTAGGCTTTATTACTTTGGTCCCAGCTCTCTGCAGGTCATTCACTAGGTCCCCCCGTGTGGTTCTGGGATTTTTGCTCACCGTTCTTGTGATCATTTTGACACCACGGGGTGAGATCTTGCGTGGAGCCCCAGATCGAGGGAGATTATCAGTGGTCTTGTATGTCTTCCATTTCCTAATAATTGCTCCCACAGTTGATTTCTTCAAACCAAGCTGCTTACCTATTGCAGATTCAGTCTTCCCAGCCTGGTGCAGGTCTACAATTTTGTTTCTGGTGTCCTTTGACAGCTCTTTGGTCTTGGCCATAGTGGAGTTTGGAGTGTGACTGTTTGAGGTTGTGGACAGGTGTCTTTTATACTGATAACAAGTTCAAACAGGTGCCATTAATACAGGTAACGAGTGGAGGACAGAGGAGCCTCTTAAAGAAGAAGTTACAGGTCTGTGAGAGCCAGAAATCTTGCTTGTTTGTAGGTGACCAAATACTTATTTTCCACCATAATTTGCAAATAAATTCATTAAAAGTCCTACAATGTGATTTTCTGGATTTTTTTTCTCAATTTGTCTGTCATAGTTGACGTGTACCTATGATGAAAATTACAGGCCTCTCTCATCTTTTTAAGTGGGAGAACTTGCACAATTGGTGGCTGACTAAATACTTTTTTCCCCCACTGTATTTCCTGCAATTCTACACATTTTGTTATGGGGTGCAGAGACAATTCTGCAGGTTTAAAGCTAATTTTCTTGCAATTCTATACATTTTGCCATGTCTAATGTGTATTCATGTGATATTTGAGTGACTCAAACATTACAACAAAATCTATGGGGTAAAAAACCTAACTAAAACTCATTAGCTGACATGGGCTAGTTGATCTGGACATTTCTGACAAGTTATAAATAGCTCTCTAAGGTATGCAATGACTGACATTACAAGAGGAAAACTGTTGATGCACTACCCAATTTCGAAATTGCACCTTGTGCATTCTACTATTACAACTTTCAAGAGTAAGTTGAAAGCCGGACTGAGTTCCTTAAAAATACATTTAAAAAAACAACTAGGGGGCACGCCCCACAGTTTGGGAACCACTGCTCTATCTTGTTAAGTGTGTTCAGGTGTGTTGGTCGCGACCACTAATTGGCCACACCTGATCTTAATGAGTGCTTGTTTCCTTTGAAGTGCCCATTTGAATAGACTAAAATAAACAGCTTTGTATGAGTTAAAAAAACATGGCATGCTAGCTCCATCCTGGTGGCGCAGTGGACGAATTCCATGGATAGAAAACAGAAGATTCAAATCTCCCTGATGCTGTGCCACAAAAAAAAAGAAATGTGTTTGCATGATTAATGCCTAAGCAAATGAATTTACATGTGTCCTATCTGGTCAAAACAGTTAACCTAAGCCTCCCAGGAAAACCTTCAGGAAACCATAGTAAAACATTCTCAGAACCTCCATGCAACCTAAAAATTTTAATTCCCAGAAGAGGTGAAATGTTCACTTCCGTTTAAAAAACGTTCAGTTTTACAGTTTAGGAAACTTATGGCTTCGTTCCCAGAACCAACGGGAAACCATAAACGTACCTTCTGACAACTTCCAAGGAACCAAATGTGCTAGCTGGGGAGACTGAGATGATCATTGTAAAATGTTGATTTTGTGGGTAATTAACTACAGTTGAAGTCTGAGATTTACATACACCTTAGACAAATACATTTAAACTCAGTTTTTCACAATTCCTGACATTTAATCCTAGTAAAAATTCCCTGTCTTAGGTCAGTTAGGATCACCACTTTATTTTATGAATGTGAAATGTCAGAATAACTGTAGAGAGAATTATTTATTTCAGCTTTTATTTCTTTCATCACATTCCCAGTGGGTCAGAAGTTTACATACACTCAATTAGTATTTGGTAGCATTGCCTTTAAATTGTTTAACATGGATCAAACGTTTCAGGTAGCCTTCCACAAGCTTCCCACAATAAGTTGGGTGAATTTTGGCCCATTCCTCCTGACAGAGCTGGTGTAACTGAGTCAGGTTTGTAGGCCTCCTTGCTCGCACATGCTTTTTCAGTTCTGCCCAAAAATGTTCTATAGGATTGAGGTCAGGGCTTTATGATGGCCACTCCACCTTAACTTTGTTGTCCTTAAGCCATTTTGACAACTTTGGAAGTATGCTTGGGGTCATTGTCCATTTGGAAGACCCATTTGCGACCAAGCTTTAACTTCCTGACTGATGTCTGAGATGTTGCTTCAAATAATCCACATAATTTTCCTTCCTCATGATGGCATCTATTTTGTGAAGTGCAGCAGTCCCTCCTGCAACAAAGCACCCTCACAGCATGATGCTGCCACCCCCTGTGCCACCCCCTTTTTCCTCCAAACATAACGATGGTCATTATGGCCAAACAGTTCTATTTTTGTTTCATCAGACCAGAGGACATTTCTCCAAAAAGTACGATCTTTGTCCCCATGTGCAGTTGCAAACCGTAGTCTGGCTTTTTTATAGCGGTTTTGGAGCAGTGGCTTCTTCCTTGCTGAGCGGCCTTTCAGGTTATGTCGATATAGGACTAGTTTTACTGTGGATATAGATACTTTTGTACCTGTTTCCTCCAGCATCTTCACAAGGTCCTTTGCTGTTGTTCTGGGATTGATTTGCACTTTTCGCACCAAAGTACGTT